TTCTTATCCTTAACTGTCCTTCGATATATTGGAGTGTACTGGAGTCGTCGAGATCTTATGAGCTTCAAGACTTCCTCAGTCGACTTCGGGTATCAACTCGAGTCGACTGGGGTCATATTCAATTGTTAGTAGATCCTCACGTGTTTGACCGTCTTTCAAGAGGACATCCACTTTTGCTAGTCAACATGTGGAAGTCGACTGGGAGAGATGCCTGGAGATACCATAAAGTCTGCGGACAGAATCGACTTCGCGTAAGTCGACTCGGTAACCTCTAAACCGCGATGTATTGAACCGTTACACGACAGTGTGGCTATATCAACCGGTCCACCACATAAGCATGCAAAAAGTCAACTTCCCCCACACTTAAAATGAGGCAATGTCCTTATTGCTTCAACACATAACCGGGAATAAAAAGAACAAGACCTAGCAATATCACATAATGAACCAATACTAGCAACTAACCCAAAACTCAGAATAAAGGACACAAGGAAGAAGCAACTCAAAAAGATAAAAAAGAGAAAAGGTGTGCAAACCGAAAATACATCGAGTAGAATAAGCATGCACGTGTAAGTCACTCGCCCCCGCTCAGCCCCAGAACCTCGATATTCCTCGTTCAACTCAATCCTCCTGCTCGAGATCGAAAACTAGATCCTATCAAGAAGACCATAAATCTCCAAAACTCCAATTATTCAAAGATAAGACTAAAAAGCATACCTACCAGGGGTTCGTTGGCTCGCCTATGCTCAGCCTCGCGAACTTATACCTGCCAATCAGAAAAACATAGAACTCCAAAACTCCCATTAATTAAAGATAAAACTAAAAGCGTAAAGAAAAATATCTAAGAAAGCGATAAATCACTTGGGTTGCCTCCCAAGAAGCGCTTCTTTAACGTCATTAGCTTGACGAAACCTGTGAGGAACTCTGCCGGAGTCTAAAAACAAGTGACGATCGTGCCACGCCTTCGTATTCTCTAGCAGTGGTAACATGGGAAGTGTGGCAACAAGGCAGGCATGGTCGATCCGGGTGGCCATGTTCTGGATGAAGTGGGTTTGGGCACGAGCAATCCCTAGTAACCGACATAGAGCTTTTCCCACCCGAGCTCTATCCTCATCCTCTGGGATTATGAGAACATCTGTGGAACAAGTCGAGCTAAATCCAGCCCACTTGGTAGCACAGTGTAATGGCTCCGAAGGTGAATGCTCCAATTCGGTGGCGAGAGGAGGGACTCGAGAAATGGTGACATAGAATTTTTTTGTCAAGTCCACGAATCTCTTCCTCCAAAATATCATCGTCTCGCTGGAGTGCATCATCTTCCTCTTTGGTCTCACACATGTGCATCGGAATGCATGTTTAGGCACCTACCATAAGATGGGAGTCGTTGACTTTTAACTCGAAAGAGTCAAGACATGCTGTTAGATTTTCTATTTGAGCACTCAGTCAAGCACACCCGAGCTCAATCTCCCCTTCTCGGTTTGCTTGGGCCATCATGCGGTCCAGGATGAGATCAAGTTTGGCATTGTATCTCGAAGAGTCATCCTCAAGCTTATCGAAAGGTATGGGTGCCGGATGTAGGTCCACAACCATGGGCTCATTGGCTCGTGACTCGATAGAGTCGATGCGCCTCGCTAGACTCTCCAATTGCTCGCTCAAACGGGCACATCTGAGCTCAATCTCCGCTTTTCAGCTTTCTTGGGCCCTCATTCGATCGAGGATAAGATCAAGCTTAGCGTTGAATGCGTCTTCTTCTTCTTGAGCTGTTATAATGGTAAGAATTCGATCGAGCTTCTCGTTAAACACATGGGACTCGTAAGACTGCTCGACTGGGTAGGGATCCCAGTACTTGTAATATCCCGTCAGTTTCAGTATAAATTATATTTTTAGTTCCGATATTAATGTTCAGAATTAATTATTTTCAGTCATTTTAGTCGAGATTACCGAAAATTATTTTCGACGTATCGTTTACGTTCGGAATAATTTTAGTAATTAAGTATTATCTTAATAGTTAATTAAGCATAAAGTGATAATTAATGAATAATTAATTAAGCTTAAGAAGCTTAATGCCGTGGGCAATTCTAAGTTTTAATGCATGAAAATTCTCCCATTTAAACTCCAAATGCCGTAAGTAATATAAGTGGGAAATAGTGCATTTATCCTCAATTTTTTTTGTTTCTTAAGTAAGCAAGTAGGAGGTGTCTTATTAGGGTGCAATTAGTGGTGACTCATAAGCTTATTTGATGAGTTACCATTTTTATTTTCCCTAATTGAGACATGTGGCAAGTTAAGCTAAAACCTCCACCTCCCAAACTCCATTCGGCCATCATGTTATATATATGTATAAGTTCGAGAAATTTGGTTCACTTCTCCATAAAGAGTTCAGCACATATATTTATCCTATGTATTAGAGAATTGAGAGTTTAGTGAGGAGAGTATAAGGCTTACCGCTCGGCACACGCGAGAAGCTTGGATCAACCGCACCGCAAAGCACCGCACACACGCACGTCCGGCCACCATGAGGTTCAAGTACTTCGGGTGTAGTTCCGCAAGCAAGAAAAGAGGTAATTTTGTTACCTTGATTTATTCATGTTATAGGCATGTTAGCTTTGAGTGGTGCGTAGTCATGGCACGGCTTAAAGCCACTCGGCCGCGCGGGTGTGTAGTGAGCTTGTTCATGTTATAGTTAATATCTTTCGAGTAAGAGTCATGAAATCAAGCCTTGTATGTTATTCAAGTTCAGTTAAGGTCATGTATTGGAAGAAAGTTCATGTTTTTGCGGTGTTCGGCCGAGAGGACGTGGTTGCG